TAATCTGCTGGGGCATATCACCAGCTGGGTGGCTTAAACAACAGAAGTGCATTCTCTCACAGTTCTGGAGGCTGGAAGTCCAAGGTCAAAGCACCGACAGGGTGGTTTTCTGGGGAGGCCTCTCTCCTTGGCTTGCAGATGGCTGCCGTCTCCAAGTCATCTCGTGGTGTGTCCTCTGTGTGCACTTAGTCCTGCCGTCTCTTTCTTTTCTTAGAAGTACACCAGTCCTGTTGGATTAGGGCCCCACTCTGTGACCTTACTTATTTCTGTAAAGGCCTAATCTCCAAATACAGTTGTCTTGGGAGTTAGCACAACATATGGATTTGGGGTGGGGGAGGACACAACTCAGTTCATTGTATTCTGCCCTGTGGCCCCCAACAAATTTATGTCTCTTCACTTCAAAAATACATTCACCGTATCTCAACTCAGCTCATTCCAGCATGAACTCTGAGTTCAGAGTCTCATCTAAATAGCATCCAACTCAAGTATGGGGAGACTTTAGGTGTGATCCATCCTGACACAATTCCTCCCAGCTGTGATGGTGCGGACGTAGGATAGACATTCCCATTCCAAAAGGGAGAAACCAGAAGAAAGAAGTTACAGCTTCTAAGCAAGTCCAAAACCTAGCCAGGCAAATACCATTACGTCTTAAAGCTAAAGAATCATCCTCTTTGGTTCCACGCTCTTCCCTCCAGTCCCTCTAGGGTGGCAGCTTTGCCCCTGAGAGCTGTGGCCAGAGGCAGCTGGCTTCACAGCAGCTAATAAAAGAGGCCCGACCCTATGAAATCAAGGAGTAGACGTGCTTGCCCTGAGATTATATACTCGTTCTTGGTGGCAGTGGCAGCGCTGACGGTCTCTGAATTGCCCTTGGATCATCCTTCCTTTTCTTGAAGGACTAAGAATGTAGCACCCGGGTAGCTCTGCTGTCAGAAGTCCAAAAGTCTTACTTTATTTTATTCCATGTCCATCCCCTTTAGTCCAAGCTGCCAATGTCTCTGCTGGAATAATCCTGTCTCTCTTCCCTTCTTCTGCTGAGATGGCAGTTTTTCTCTCTGTAACATGCTTTCTCATTTTTGGCAATATGGATAGCCTGAGAATTTTCTGACTCTAGTTCCTAATTCCCTGTTACTTAACAATTCTTTCTTTAACTCATCTTTCTTTTTTTGCATTTTACTGTAACCAATAAGGAGAAACCAGATTGTATCTTCATCACTTTCCTTACAGATCTCCTCTGCTAAGTATCCAAGGTTGTCAGTCAAGAACTTTTCCATTTCTATGTAGTTGTTACAGTGATGCCCACCTCATGATCCAAATCTGTATTATTTAGGGTTTTCCAGAAAAACAAAACCACTGCATGCTTTTTTATATGTTGGATATTTATTAAAAGGAATTGGTTGATGCAAGTATGGATTCTGATGAGTTTAAAATATGCACTGTGGGCCAGCAGCCTGGAGACTCAGGAGAGCTGATGGTGCAGACGAAAGCCAGAGGCAGTGTCTTGCTCAGGAAAGTCAGTACTTTTGTTCTGCCCAGGTTTTTAGCTGATTGGATAAGGCCCAGCACATTATGGAGGGCACTGTGCTTACTGAAATCTCACCAACTTAAATGTTAGTCTCCAAAGATTCATTCCAGATTGACATATAAAATGAACCATCACCAGAGGTCATGATAATAATAGTCCAGATCTGACAGGCCAGCATCAATAGAGTTCTTTTTTTTTTTTTTTATTTTTTTATTTTGAGACGGAGTTTCGCTCTTGTTACCCAGGCTGGAGTGCAATGGCTCAATCTCGGCTCACCGCAACCTCCGCCTCCTGAGTTCAGGCAATTCTCCTGCCTCAGCCTCCTGAGTAGCTGGGATTACAGGCACGTGCCACCATGCCCAGCTAATTTTTTGTATTTTTAGTAGAGACGGGGTTTCACCATGTTGACCGGGATGGTCTTGATCTCTTGACCTCGTGATCCACCCGCCTCGGCCTCCCAAAGTGCTGGGATTACAAGCTTGAGCCACCGCGCCCGGCCTATCAATAGAGTTCTGAAAAAATCTGAGTGAAAATGGATATAACAGACTAGAATATGTAATTGGATGTGGGAATAAGTGCAAAACTGCAAGACTTTGCTTTTGCAAAGATGGTGGTACCACTTTTTCTAAAATGCCCAGGGCAGAAGACACTGCCTTTACTGAGATCATTGCTTAAAAAGGGATTCTCCACCTTGGCAACACATAGAATCATCTGGAGGATTTTAGGAATCTCTGTGTCCAAGTAGTGCTGCACACCAGTTAAATCTAAATTCTGGATGTTAGGCTGGGCCAGGTGGCCCTAGCCTATAATCTCAGCGTTTTGGGAGGTCGAGGAAGGTGGATCACCTGAGGTCAGTAATTCGAGACCAGCCTGGCCAACATGATGAAACTCCATCTCTACTAAAAATACAAACATTAACCGGGTATGGTGGCACATGCCTGTAATCCCAGCAACTCGGGAGGATGAGGTAGGCGAATTGCTTGAGCCCAGGAAATGGAGGTTGCAGTGACCCGAGATTGCATCATTGCAGCCCAGTCTGCTGGGTGACAGAGCAAGACTCCGTCTCAAAATAAATAAATAATTACTTAATTAAATGAAATTAATTAATTCTGGTCATGAGAGCAGGCATCAGTATTTAAAAACCATTCTAGGTGATTCCAGCATGTAGGTATCATTGAGAACCACTGTTGAGAAGCAGAGTCTTGGGAAGCCTTTTAAAAAAATTCCACCCAAGCCGGGCACTGTGACTCAAGCCTGTAATCCCAGTGCTTTGGGAGGCTGAGGCGGGTGGATCACGAGGTCAAGAGATCGAGACCATCCTGGTCAACGTGGTGAAACCCCGTCTCTACTAAAAATACAAAAAATTAGCTGGGCATGGTGGCGTGTGCCTGTAATCCCAGCTACTCAGGAGGCTGAGGCAGGAGAATTGCCTGAACCCAGGAGGCGGAGGTTGCGGTGAGCCGAGATCGCGCCATTGCACTCCAGCCTGGGTAACGAGAGCGAAACTCTGTCTCAAAAAAAAAAAAAAAAAAATTCCACCCAGCATAGAATACACAGTATTCCACCATGGAACACTGTGCAGCCATAAAAAAGGATGAATTCACGTCCTTTGCAGAGACATGGATGAAGCTGGAAACCATCATTCTCAGCAAACTAACACAGGAACAGAACACCACATGTTCTCACTCATAAGTGGGAGGTGAACATTGAGAATACTTGGACACAGGGAGGGGAACATCACACACTGGGACCTGTCGGGTATAGATGACAGGTTGATGGATGCAGCAAACTACCATGGCACACGTATACCTATGTAACAAACCTGCACGTTCTGCACATGTATCTCAGAACTTAAAGTATAATAATAAAAACAATTCTATCAAGCCTGTAATCCCAGCATTTTGGGAGGCCGAGGCGGGTGGATCACGAGGTCGAGAGATCAAGACCATCCTGGTCAACATGGTGAAACCCCGTCTCTACTAAAAACACAAAAAAGTAGCCGGGCATGGTGGTGCGTGCCTGTAATCCCAGGTACTCAGGAGGCTGAAGCAGGAGAATTGCCTGAACCCAGGAGGCGGAGGTTGCGGTGAGCCGAGATCGCGCCATTGCACTCCAGCCTGGGTAATGAGCGAAACTCCGTCTCAAAAAAAAAAAAAAAACCAAAAAAAAAACAATTCTACATGCCCAACAAAGTCCTAGAGTACTTGAGCACGAGTTTCATTTCAATGCTTCTTTTTTTTCCTAGCTGGCCTTGGTCGCACGGGCACTCTGATAGCCTGCTACATCATGAAGCATTACAGGATGACAGCAGCCGAGACCATTGCGTGGGTCAGGATCTGCAGACCTGGCTCGGTGATTGGGCCTCAGCAACAGTTTTTGGTGATGTAAGTAGTAGCGTCTGTAGTTCCAAGGAACTCGTGGGGCTGGAAGCTCTATTGCCACCATGCCCACTGAGTGGAATTTCCCTTGGTCTCCAGTAACAACAGCTTGTCTAGTAGGAAGAAATTGTTCATGTGTCTTTCTGCAAAGCTCTATTGATGTTATTTAAATGCTCTAGGAAGCAAACAAGCCTCTGGCTGGAAGGGGACTATTTTCGTCAGAAGTTAAGGCGTCCGGAGAACGGACAGCACGGAGCAGCCTTCTCCAAACTTCTCTCTGGTGTTGATGACATTTCCATAAATGGGGTCAAGAATCAAGGCCAGCAAGAACCCGAACCGGTAATCACGCCATTTCTGTCGCGACGTTGTTACTGCTTTAACTGCTATTGAGACCCTGTCAGGGCATGGAGAAAACTGGAGGTAAAATAATAAAGCAGCTCTTGGGGGATGATTGTCAGTTTTTTATATTTATGACCCTCTCCAGGCACTTTTTACCCAAAATAGTGGAAACAAAGGTTGTATATTCATGAAACTGTTTTATTCACTTGGCAGGTGTATAAAAGGTCGTGAAGTGAGCTCTTTAGCCGGATCTACCCCTGCCCCCATCCCTTTTTGGCATTTCACGACTTCTGATATAGGAAAGCAGTCATTCTCAAATGGAGAGCTTTTAACAAATCAAGGGCTTAGAGAGTAGCAGTACTACATTAAGTGGTAGTAAGTAGACTGAGAAATGTTAAAAAGAACGTTTTCAGGCTTGAAAGCCCATTGTCCCTCTTCACTGTTGATGTGCTTTATAACGAGAATGCTGCTGGGTTGTCTCCGAAAGTCAGCTTGGACTGTCTTAAAATGTGACCTGTACCTGGATTGTAAAGGGGAAAAACATTTTAGAGTTCACAGAAACTTGGACTGTCTGTCTGTGTTTACGTGGCTAAACTGCCGCAGTTCTTACTGCATTAATAATGCAAGTTACATCATTAGTTCGGTGTTTTTTTACTCACACAGTACAGTGATGACGACGAAATCCATGGAGTGACACAAGGTGATAGACTTCGGGCCCTGAAAAGCAGAAGACAATCAAAAACAAACGCTATTCCTCTCACGTGAGTCTGAGTTCCTTTGTTGTGGCTGACGTTTTTTCATATATGTGTGGGGTCCTTGCTGAGGGCTTTTCCTGTACATTTTTCTCCATAGTTGCAAGCCCATGATGCCACTTTGAAATGCTTGCCTATGTTATTTAAAACCTAGGGGTGCTGGCCTTGGAAGCTGTCAGCTGTCCCTCGTTGACCTTCGTCCTCTCGAGCCTTTCTAAGAGGGAAGGCGACATTAGCAGTGCTTTTTCTCCATGAATAACCAGCATGGGGCATCCTCAAGAGTGTGACAGCAGATGTAAAGCCCAGGCTGCCAGACCTGTCCATAGTTACTAAAGTGGTGGAGTGCTTTACATTCACCATGTTGCAGATCATTTGTTTTGATCAGCATGGCATGATGGCTTAATGACGTTATGTTGTTTTGGGGCAACAATGAGCTGGTCTAAACTATACTTTGGGTTTTTTGTTTGTTTCTTTGGGGAATTATTTTCTAATTATGGAGGAGGATTTAGCCTGAGAACAGGAAATGTTGTAGTTACTGAGTGTGTGTATGTCCATGTGTACATTCTTGTGAATGTGTGTTAGTTGAGATTCAACCTGATGGAGTATCCAAGATTGTTAGAAAAATACGCAGAAGCAAATTACATGACCACAGCATTATTTGTAGGCTGTTCTTCAGCAGATGCTCCCACTTGCTGCCATTGGGTTTCTTCCTTCTGGTTACTTCCTTTTTCATTGTAGGGTACCAGATTTCCAGCCTTCTTTTTGAGAGGGAGGGAGTATGATGGGCAAAGATAGTTTATTCAGTAAACCTCTTATAATATGGTAAGGCAGTATGATATAATAGATCATTTGTATTGGCAGAGAACAGGTTTTCTTTTTAATTAAAAGTAATTCTTCACTGGTGTCTTACAACAATTCTGAAGTAGAATTACACATAAGGCATGTGTCATTATGGGTTGTTCCCCTGGGAGGGTCTTGTTAAAAGACCCAGTGCAAGGAATTGAGTTTTGCAATATGCAATGTTAGATGAATGAATGTAGGGCATCAATTTTGATTATAGGCATTCATTAAGCATTTCTTTTGCAGCATAGTAGTGCTTTAGTCAACTAGACTGCTTTCAAAATGGTGCCTTTTGGCTGGGGGCAGTGGCTCATGCCTCTAATCCCAGCACTTTGGGAGGCCAAGGCAGGTGGATCACTTGAGGTCAGAAGTTCAAGACCAGCCTGACCAACATAATGAAACCCCATTTCTACAAAAATATAAAAATTGGCCAGGCATGATGATGGGTGTCTGTAATCTCAGCTACTAGGGAGGCTGAGGCAGGAGGATTGCTTGAACCTAGGAGGCGGAGGTTGCAGCAAGCTGAGATCACGCCATTGCACTCCAGCCTGGGCAACAGAGCGAGACTATGTCTCAAAGAAGAAAAAGTATGTTGCCTTTCGTGTAATTCCCTTAATTCCAAATGCCATTTTCTTTTTAATTTCCCTAAAATTCTTTATCTAAGGCCTTAATGGTCCTTTTTATTTGAACATATTATCGTGGCTCCAGGTAATCATCTGGGTACTAATTCTGGACATGGTGGAGGAAGCAGGCAGTGCCCTCGAGCAGTGCTTCTCAGACCTCAGTGTGCATGAAGCACCTGGGTGCTTGTTGAAATACAGGTTATGATTAGTGCGGTGGTGGCGGGTCCCAAGAGTCCACATTACCAGAGGCTGCTGGTCCAGGGACCACACATTGAAGTGTAAGCCCTGGGAAACTGATCCTTTTGTGGCTGATTTTAGCTGTGTCCTGTTTTGTTTGTTTTGTTTTTCAGAGTAAGCATCATCAGTTTATTTTTTCATATTTTGTCGCTTGCTGTTCAAAAGTCGAGTTGAGAGTCGGGATACAAATCCTGCTTAGTCAAAAGTTCTTGTTAAATAGGAAATTTCCTTTAGTCACCCTCTGAATCTGCTACCCTCATTAACATGTGTTCAAGTCTAGCTGGGTGTGGTGGCATGCGCCTGTAGACCAGGCTATGCGGGAGGCCGAAGTGGGAGGATCACTTGAGCCCAGGAGTCCGAGGCTGCAGTGTGACATGATCACTGCATCTAGCCTGGGTGACAGAGTGAGACCCTGTCAAAATAAATAAGTAAAATCAAGTACAATGGTAAAAGATAAAAAAACAAAGAGGTAGCTCAGGATTCCTTTTGGTAATATCATCCTAAAAATAATGTATATAAATAGCCCCACATAACACAAATAACAAACTTCTAGGCCACACTTTTAAGAAGAAAGCAAAATGCTAGTTTTTCTAAGCTCTGAGTTATGTGTATAGACTCCAGGGGATTTTTGATGAGCCTCAGCACATCTTCCTACTCCTTCACAACAGTTTGCTTATTCCATCATCTGCTTTTTCAAACGCTCTCTGCTATTATTTGCAGCTTTTTCGCCCTAGAAAATGTCAGTCGAAGGTTGTCTTTATTTCCCTCTTGTGTCTTTGCGGTTATTTTAGAAATAGAAGTCCCTGAGCACTGTGTTCAACAATGGCTTGGGTTGAAAATTACCAAATCAGTTTTCTTCCTCTCAATTTTGACTCATTGATTTCTGTGAGCAGGTTATTTTGATTTAATATTGATATTTTGTCACGAAAATACAGTACATGCAAGAAGGAAAGTTAGTGAGAAATATACAAGTACTAGTGATTCTTAGAAGAAAGTTATGGTACATAAGATGTTATTCCAATGATTGGTTCCTCTCTCTTTTTTTTTTTAAGACAGAGTCTTGCTCTGTTGGACAGGCTGGAGTGCAATGGGGTGATCTCAGTTTACTGCAACCTCTGCCTCTCCGGTTCAAACGATTCTCCTGCCTCAGCTCCCAAGTAGCTGGGATTACAAGTCTGCTCCACCACACCCAGCTTAATTTTTGTACTTTCAGTAGCAACAAGGTTTCACCATGTTGGCCAGGCTGGTCTTGAACTCCTGACCTCAAGTGATACGCCCGCCTCAGCTCCCAAAGTGCTAGGATTAAAGGAATAAGCCAACAGTGCCCGGCCGGTTTCTGTTTTATAAATGGTCAGTTTTGGGGGAGAGTTTATGTTTTTAGCGATTTTAAAATGGCCGTTTGCTCAGCCTGTCTCATCCTGTCTACAATGATGACAGTAAGCCATGTGGCACCATGACATTGAGCTGACCTTCAGGTCTTGATGACAAGTATATTGTCTTTGCTAAAATGGATTTGGTAGATCTCACAACTTGAGCCATGAGGCCTGTCATTCTGCATACTGATGATTTTGGCAGGTTTGGAGATGGGTATAGGTGTTAGCAATGGAAAATAATTCTTTTTTTTTTTTTTTTTTGAGACGGAGTTTCGCCCTTGTTACCCAGGCTGGAGTGCAATGGCGCGATCTCCGCCTCCTGGGCTCAGGGAATTCTCCTGCCTCAGCCTCCTGAGTAGCTGGGATTACAGGCACGTGCCACCATGCCCAGCTAATTTTTTGCACTTTTAGTAGAGACGGGGTTTCACCATGTTGACCAGGATGGTCTCGATCTCTCGACCTCGTGATCCACCCGCCTCGGCCTCCCAAAGTGCTGGGATTACAGGCTTGAGCCACCGCGCCCGGCGCGGAAAATAATTCTTAAGCCACGAGATTTACTAGATGAACAAGGAACTATCTATAATGCTAACACCTGAACATTCAGGCCATTCTGCCTTCAATCAGGAACTGAAAGTGAGGGCTGGGATGAATAGAGAGTTCTATAGTGCTCCCAGGCCATTTATTCCATTCTGTTTAAATATTCACCCCTGCAATCCTTTTTTTTTTTTTGAGGCGGAGTTTCCCCCTTGTTACCCTGGCTGGAGTACAGTGGCACCATCTCGGCTCACCGCAACCTCCGCCTCCTGGTTCAGGCGATTCTCCTGCCTCAGCCTCCTGAGTAGCTGGGATTACAGGCATGCGCCACCATGCCCAGCTAATATTTTGTATTTTTAGTAGAGCCGGGGTTTCACCATGTTGACCAGGGTGGTCTCGATCTCTTGACCTCGTGATCCACCCTCCTCAGCCTCCCAAAGTGCTGGGATTACAGGCTTGAGCCACCGCTCACAGCCTGATCTTAATATATATTAGTAGGCTTGTTTTTTGTGGGAAGATTAAATAAGATGCTGTAGGTATAACCTGTGGGTTGAGGTTGGGCTGTATCTCAAGTTCACCCTTTAGTCTTAATCCGTTTCCACAAAATAAGATGTCTGGCATGTAATTTTTTCCCCCTGAGGTGGAGTCTTGCTCTTTCATTCAGGCTGGAATGCAGTGGTGCGACCTCAGTTCACTGCAACTCCAGCTGCCGGATTCAAGCAATTCTCCTGCTTTAGCCTCCTGAGTAGCTAGGACTACAGGCGCACACCACCATGTCTGGCTAATTTTTGTATTTTTAGTAGAGATGGAGTTTCACCATGTTGGCCAGGCTGGTCTCGAACTCCTGACCTCGTGATCTGCCCACTTTGGCCTCCCAAAGTGCTAGGATTACGAGTGTGAACCACTACACCCAGCCTGACATGTAATTTTTAATGATGAGGGTGATAAGGTCAACAATAAAAATTACTTAATAAGCCAAATCAGTCATGTCCAGATTGATCAGCAGTACTCCGCACGCAGCAGACGGTCAGTAGAGCCTTTAGTATTTGGTCACAGATGTATCCAGGTGACCACTTGGAAGTGCAGGCATTGGAAGGAGCTGCTGCCTTTCCAAATGGGAGGAGGTTTCCTTCCTCGCTCCTAGAACCCAGACTAGTGGATTAAGAAACACCAAGCTGAGGCTGGGCACAGTGACTCATGCCTGTAATCCCAGCACTTTAGGAGATCAGGGCAGGAGGATCACTTGAGCCCAGGAGTTCGAGACCAGCCTGGGCAACATAGTGAGATACCGTTTCTAAAAATAATAATAATAATAAAAACAAAAAAACTAACTGGACATGGTGGGATGAACAGATGGTCTCAGCTGCTACTTGGAAGGCTGATGTGGGAGGATTGCTTCAGC